AGCAATTCCTCCTGTCAGTTCTACACCATAACAGCCCATGTAATTCCCTCGATAAATTTCCCTCTCGTGCGCTATATTGCATTTAGAGGAGTGGTAAACAGTAGCAGAAGCAGTACTGAAAATGGTTGGTATAGATTTTTTTCTGAGGAGAGGTGTGACTCTACACGACGATTTGGTGCAGTTGGGTTAAAATGAGCAGGCAGAGCTCTGTCACACAACAATAACATAACCAAAAAATGCATATTTCGTAAGAAGATTAAATCATTCTTCTTGAAATATGTTGCATTCAGATTCAACGTAATAATATGTAAACGTTCTGTAAATCCATGACTAACGGTTTAATGGTAGCTGTATAATGAAGATCATGATGTGAGTGATCGTCGCAGTTACGAACAATGACTCGCATTCATGTTTATACGGGAGTCAAAGCCGCGACCCCTGCGTTACCGGTGCAGTGCTCTAGATAGCTTGCCTGTTTTACTTAAATACATTAAAAGACAATCAAAAACAAAATATTTCACGACTTTTTCGTTTTTTTTTTTTTGTTTTTTCTTTTTGCGTTCTTTTTAGGTTTTATTTTCCTTTTTTCTATTTTTTTGGCTTGTTTTTGTTTTGTTTTAGTTTTTGGTTATTTCTTTGTTTTCCAGTTGTGTTTTCTCGGTTCTGAGGGGTGCCTATGCGATATTGCTTCAGGAGCAGGGGGGAGGAACACTCAACAGCCATATTATTGGATAGTTTGAGGGCTCAACAGTGGATGGGCTAGATCTTTTAGGGGATTATCTTGCAATATACCGCTAAGTCTACAAATGGACAGGTAAGCTGCTACATCTAAACATTAAGGAATTGTAAGTCCCCCAAGTACACTGCAATAAAAGACAATTTACGTATCATGAAAAGGCCATTTTATTCAGCAAACACAGCAGTCTAAAAAAGGCGAAGTAAAATTATAATGGCTGAATCAGATGTAGTAATTTATAACGGTGTTACAACGCAAACCCTGAATACTAAACACATTACGGATAGAGCCAAGCTGTGGGCCTCAGATCGCATAATTACCACAGTGCTTTTTCTGTTGATTATGTTTGGCTTCAGTTCTATTCTTTGAAGGCCGGTTTAGGCGGTATTACTTTAGTGTATTCGACAAGTTAAGCCTGCGAGAAGCCCATGACAGAAATTGTGTTGTGAAAATTGAACCTACAACTTACCACGCATGGTTTGTTAAATATCGTGGGATTTTCAAAATTGTTTCAAAACCATGCGACAATGGTAAGGCCGGCATAGGCATCAGTTTTGGATGAGGTTTTGCAAGGCATGAGCGGCGCGCGATTCAGAGGTTGTATGCGAAAGTCGCAAACAAATGTCATACCGTCTAAATCCGCCTTTAAAGAACAACAATGCTATCTTACCTAAGGTTATAAACAAGACAATGAAATAACATCTCTTCAAAATGAGGAGTAACGAAATCGAATAATAACAAACTAAGCCCGTGGGACTTAAAACAAATAATTAAAAATAAAAATCGTCATCACCATCATAAGATAAAAAAAAGCAAGAGTTTCAGAAACATTTGCAAAATATTTCAGGTGAACCTTGCTTTGGGTAGTTACCATTCTAATCTCTAATCTGGCCAGTTTGCTAACCAGGATTAAAAATAAAAATACACATTGATGATTTATGTTTACTCGATACTGTGATCTATGCAAATGTCTTTTTTTGTATTATATTCTCTTTTCTTTTCTCTCTATTTTGCAAGGTTCCTGGACAGTTAATCTAACGAGGAATCTAACTGTTCCTGTAATTTATGGTTAATAACACTATGTTTATCTTTCAAAACTAACTATATTCGCCTTTACATCTATACAAAAGCTAGCGTCAGACGAAAGCAGCCTTCCACATTGTTGACTCTACCAGGATCTCATACCTGCAGAGAGCAAGTCCCTTGCACTGGTGTTAAGTGCTGAAGGCCGAGAAAATGCGTCTGGAAACAATTACTTTTCAAAGTCGTTAATCAAAGAAAAGAACACATAAAGAATTTCAAAAAGGTAAAGTCGTGTTCCATATTCCGTTTCCGGTTCAACTTCCCTTATCGTTATCTCTTTTTCCCAAACAGCAAACAGTGCACATTTACTTTCTCAACATCGAAAAAAAAAAGGAAATTGGTTTTAGTATGATCTATTTAACTGATAACACTGGTAAGAGGTATAGGGAATGATACGCTAAAACACAGTCAATGGAGTGAGATAAACAAACAAGAAAATAATAATAATAATAAAAAGCAAAAATAAAACGAAATGCTTAATTTGTGACTAACTACCTCAGGTTAAACGGGTATCTTCACAAGAACACCGGAGGTACAGGAGCAACCACATGCATTTTGAGAAAGAGGAGGAAAATCATTTAAGTTGTAGAATACAACGATGGACAGAATCTATGGGCATGACCTCTTTATCACAAAACAAAGCAAAAATCGCTAACAACAAACAACACCAGTGAGTTACCCGTGAGCGTGTAACGTTTAGTTAAGAAAGATCATGAAGTACTGTTGTATGTATTATGAACGCACATGTTTGAAGGAATGAAAGCCTGGTCTATTCCGCTCCTTCGTTGTTGAATCCATTCTCTTCCATCCACAGAACGTTTCCTTTTTCATCTTCTGTCGGTTTCAGTTCGTATTTCTCGCAATAGTCATCGTTAGGCATTCCATCTCCATCGCCAACGCTGCCGTGAGATAGTCGAATACGTTTGCAGGAGACGTAGAGACCAATCATGAGAACGGCAACAACTACGAAACCACCAATAGAAGCACCAATAATGACTGGCTTGTTGATACTAGGTTTCTCATCTCTATCATCATCATCATCGTCAGCTGCAAATAAGGATCAGCGAAGAATGTAAATTATGGAACTTGTTTAGTCATAGAAGGTGGATAGGTGTGTGCGGATAACAAAATTAAGGCTATATGAGAGTTGCTTAACGATGTTAGCTATCAGCAACGACGATGCAGATAACTTCGGTACTCACAGTGCCGAAAACCATAAGTAATGAAAAAGCAAATAGAAATTGCATTACATAATAACAGTTTACATTATTGTCAACAACCGAAACGACAACAAAAAGGTTTTATATGGAAAGAATGTGACTTGGTATATGTTTTAGCGTACCTAGAAAATGGAAAATGTATCTTATTTTTCTGTGGTGTGAGTGGCATGGTTCCTACGAATCTCTTACAGCTAAGTAGTCTTGTAGTTTAAGCTGATAAGTGTACCAATGAAAAAGTGTTTCTGATACTGGGAGTAATGCGAAAAGAAGCGTTACTCTGCATGCGAAACTGTGTGTGATCACGTGGCCTTTAGATAGTTGCCTACCACGTTTAAGAGGACACCGATAGGTTTACACAGCGTTTGCTTTGCAAACGTTTCAAAGGTAGGCAGCACAGCAGGATTTGACGATTACATCTCACATTAAATTGGACCGCTAATTTGCAATGCTCTGTTGTCATTTTTTCCATGTTTAAATTTGCTTGTGCAAGAAAATCTTCGATCTTTAATATTTACGGTGAAATATAAAACAGATGTATCTGCAATTTATTTTGACTGCAGGATCTATGTTATTTCATTTCATGCGTAATTTGAGGGCAGTTTGCATTGCCTCAGTTATTGGTTACGTCAGTCCTCCAATATGGCCTCCGGTAACACAGAGGACACAAAAGAACACGTGTAACATCTCACCTTTCTTGGCGTCAGTTTCCTTGAGAGAGCCTGGGTCTACTTTCAAACTTCCTAGTCTACCATCGGCTGTTTCTTCTTTCAGTGGATTTAAGGCCACTTCTGCAGTAACTTTTACTTTAAATGTCAGTTGAAATACTGCGATTATACTGCCCTTTCTAAAAAAGAAATAAAAACAAACAAGCCGATGTAAGATAATAGGCATTTTTGAGTGGTTGAATTTGAAGCAGGACCAAGTGTCTTTTTTAGGTAGGTCCATGGTGTTAGTTCTTGAAGTCCTTGAGGTTCATTCATTCACCCACCCACCCACCCACCCACCCACTCACTCGCTCACTCGCTCACTTACTTACTTTCCCACTCTCTCTTTCGTTCGTTCGTTCATTCATTCATACCAAGAAAGAACTGGATATAAAACAGTTGACAGTATATGATAGTATAAATGTCAAACTATAAATACGGCGGTTATTGCATGTTATAATACTCAAAAAGGAGATCTGTTACCTCATAGAAATTATCTTAACTTCTTTCAGTTCAGGGCCTCCAGAGTAAGCCTTCCGAATCTGTAATAAAGAATTTGATACACATATGTTTTCTTAATGTTATCTCGCCTGATGCAGCTAGGGTCCACCATGTTACCGTTTCCATTTTTCCAACGCCTCTAAAGAGCAACCAAATTGCCTAGAAATGATCTACAGTTATGAAAAATGAGAGCCATGATGTTGCAAAGATATAAATGTTATACCAATATAGCTATTTTCACTCATTAAAAGAGGAAAAAAATCAAAATTTTAAAGAAAAAGTATAGTCATCAAAATACCTTTGACATGGAAATGCGAAGGTCGGTGCTGTTTCCCGTTATTTATTTATTTCATTATTTCATTATTTATTTATTTATTTATTTATTTTTTATATATTGTAAAAAAATGACGGTTATGATTGATCAAAGGTTAATAGTTTTAAACACCACGATACTCCTTTGCCCACACCTGCGACAAAATTTATGAACTTAAAGCAACGCTATATCGTCTTCAGGGCAACAACTAATACATTAATTTTTCAACATACCTGTTGCTGCATCCGGTTTGCCAGTTCTTTAAATTTCTTACTGCTTGTGTCACCTAATCGATCGTCCCATTCTTCGGAGATACGAATTTCGAGAGTAAAATCTAAAGCAAATATATTAAACATAGTTAAAATTAAATAACAAAAAAATTGCCTTTTTGGTGATTTAACGATATGGTTTTCTTTGTCAATTAGCTTATGAGCTAGAGATTTCTATCACGCATAGAAATCGAGAGCGAATAATCTAATTGTTTTAAAATAAATCTTCTAGTCGTTCAAAACTAAACAAATAAATTATCTATTTCCTCCTCGCAGACACTTCGACAACGCGAAGAAGAGGTCGCCATTATGTTGAAACCCACTACTCACTATCTACAACAGAATAGATAGCGACTAGGGTAGCCAATAACAGAGCGAAATTCGTGATAGAACGCTAGTACATTTATACTAACACTGGAAAGGAGGATCAACGGTTTCAACTACACACCCGTCTTGCGTTCACCGTTCACATCTTCGGTTATAGGCTTTATTGGCGAAGGTCCTGAGGTACCCTCTGAGGATGGCATTTCTGTGCTGCTACTCTCTATAGAAGTTGGCGTTGTCGCTGTCAGTTCTGTGTTTAAAATGGAAGAAAAAAATATTGTCTGGCAAACCGGTATTTGAGTCTTCACATTTCATTAACTGGCTTGCACCTAATCTGCGATCAGATCCTATCCGGGGAAATACGAAAGAGGGACTGAGATATTTACTTGCGAAATCTTTCGTAAACAAGAAGATCTGCTAGATCTTATAACCGCGCTTTTAAAATTTAACTGTTTGCTTAGCACTACCGTCGGAACGCAGTGCACATT